CTAGCCTAAAAAAAAACAAAACCCAAACTAAAAAAAAAAAAAAAAAAATAGTAATAATAATTTTTTTAAAGCCATTTTTCACTTGCCTCATGCTCTACTACTTTGTTGCCACCAACAGGCTGCTCTGCATTCTCTAAGTCTTTTTCCACTTTGACCACCCCGCCATCTTCCTCTGATGTGTGGGAAGAGACTTCATCTTGTGTGGTCTCCTCTTCATCACCCTCACTGTCACCTGGAACATACAAACTGGTCACTTGTTCTGATTTTTTCAGGAATACAACCTGAGCTGCTGTCCATCCTGCAGTTTGCAGCTATAATGAAAAAGAGTTTCAGATCTTCCATAATATAATTTGAATTAGTGTCTAGTTGGGTACAAATCATGTTAAGTGAAAACCAGCTATCACTGTTATATCGTATACACACAAATTAAAAAAGTGGAGACAGAACTACATTGGAAAGTGGTCATTGGGCCCTCTACATTATCACAAAAATAATCCTTATGAATGAATGGTTCTCAGATATCTCACACTTCAGATCATACTTCCCCCAGCACCTCATAATAGGCTCATTTCCACAGCATACAACCTCTGACACACCAACATTTCTTGCTGATATTTTACTTACTTTTGTCTAAAAGCTTCATAATTTCTCCAGTGTCATAGACTATTCTACTCTGAGCCAATATGTTCTCTCTCAACAAACCCTAAGGAAACAATAACAAGTTTTTCCTCTCCCTGTATCAATAAGGAAGCAGTAATAAATTCGGTGAAAATAATGTCACTCTATAAAGTCTGCTCAATACAGTGGAAAAATTAGCACAGCAACCAACCACAGGCGCTTTGTTGCAGTATTCAATTCTCTTTTTTTTAAATTTATTTTTCAATTCTCTCTGTTCTTACTCCACTAGTAATGCAGGTTCTAAGCTCAATATACCTTTCTTTTTTTGGTGAGGCAGGGTCTCACTATGTTGTTCAGGCTGGCCTTGAACTCCCTATGTAGCCCAGGATGGCCTTAAAGTCTCAGTGATCTTTCTGCCTCAACCTTGAAAGTGCTGGAATTATAGGCACATACCGCCACACCCAGCTCAATATATCAGTTGTTTCTACTGGGTCTTTGGATTAACTGATGGATAACTAAATGCATTAAGTGGGAGGAATGAGTTTTTCTTCACTTTAGAATGAAATACTATTTCTTGTGACTTAAGCAGAGTTTTAGTTTTGGGGGCAGGATGTGGCTGGCTTATGTGAGCTGATGTTTTTTCTCTATTATGAGATAGTAAAAAAAAAAGTTTTTAAAAACTCAATGCATAATAACAAATGGAGTTCTTTCTAAAAGGAAAGAACTAGTACCTGACAATCATAAGAGGAAGCCAAACCTATGGAAGCTGTCAGACTTCAGCCCTATCACTTCACCCAGATGCTGGACTCCCGGAACTCATGTAAGTAGACAGACAGACAGACATGGTAGTCTTCAGGTTCTTTGTAGCTATAGTGAGATTCAGATTTCCTCACTAATAGTGCTGCTTGTGTTCTCTCTACTATCCTTTGCATAATTTCTAAATCCACCAGTATCTGGAGAAAACTGGTTACATTTTCTTTCTTCATGAGAAAGTCTCACCACTCATTATAGTTATATATGTCTGTACACCAGTACTTGGAGGACTGGATTTGGGTCCTACAAAGATCTATGGTGTGTATGCCTTAGTCCCAGCTTGAAGCTTCCTTTCATTCATTTGTATCAGACTGGCACAGATGAAATCACACCATATTTTCTTTTTTTTTTTTTTTGGTACTGGGGATCAAACTTGGGACCTTGCACTTGCGAGGCAAGCGGCAGCACCACTGAGCTGAATCTCTGCCCCACACCATATTTTCTTACCAACTTCCTGTTTGGAATATTTGTAAGCTTAATATAAGACTATGTTGTATTAAATACATTTTTGTAATTTATCAATTATCCAAATACATCTCTAGTAGAGAAAGAAAAGAAAGTAAGGTATGCTATCTAGAGGGATGATACATCTTTTCCAGAATGAAAAACTATCAGACTTTTGTAGAAGGTGTTGCTATTCTTGTTACTCAAGAAAATGTTAAGGTTCCATAGGTTTTTTTTAGAAATTTGAGGCTCATTTTTCTATACTTAAGTGATTAGTTACTGAAATTTTTTTTTTTTAAACTGGCTGTTGTTGCTTATTTATTTGGGGAAAACTGTAGTTCCCAGGAAGTTACAGAACTCTCTTGTTTTTTGTTCTGCCCCAGGCTCCAACTGAAGAAAAATCAGAAATGTCACTCTGAATTGATACTAATAATAACCAGTATCAAATGGATGAGACCAAGAATGTATTATCGAAATCTTCCTAGGAAATAACCCATTTCAAAATGTATATGTTCATGCAGGTCATGGAACAATCTATGAGGGTCAACTTGTAAGAACCAGTCTTTTCTATTTCCTAAATAGAGGTCTACTCTGACAGCTTTGATGTAGGAAAAACCAGAGTACAGCATTTTATATACTGCATGATCTCATCACCAAGCAAATCTTGTATAACATTAAAACTGAGCCCCCAAGCAAAAATGCACTAATTCCACCTTCTTTTATTGTGGATACATAGTCCCTGGGAGACAGGAATTTTTTTCCTTTTCATTTGACCTAAGCCAGGGGCTACATGAGCATTAATTATTCTATGTCTCTATCACAGCCATCACAAACTTATTTCTATATGGCACTGTGTTGAGTACTGTAGTCATTGAGTTGAAGAAAACATAATGCCAATCCTGCCCTCTCTGAATAAGTATAAGTTCACACTTAGAACACTTGTGGGGGCACCCAAGATCTATATACTTGCTTCTTTATATCTTCCTCCCAAACCCCATGCACAATCCCCAGAGCACACACACTCTGATAATTCTTCTCCCATTGCCCTGAGTCATTACCAGAAGGTGCAGAACTCACTGCTACTGGAGTCCTGATCTCTTAGTTGTTGGATAGCTTGTCGCTGACTGCCAAGGTCTCCAGGAAAATCAGTTTTCATCATCGCCTGGCGAGCTTGCTCTTCTAGCCCAGCAAATACTTGATCCCCTGGTGGTCACAAGGAAAAATAGTCAGGCCACCAGCCGGGCAGCATATTACCAGGCAAGCTCATTGGAAGGTCAGACCATTCAAAGGTAGGAAACAGGCAGGTCCCCTGTGGTGGGGTCATTTATCTCCAAGTAAGCTTGCTGCCTTCAACAGCTTCTGGGCACAGCTGCTCTTTTGGGCAGTAAGCCAGATGCTCTAGAAAGCATCACTTGCTTCTCTTAAATCTCCCTATTTCTGACTCTTTCCAAATGGTGAACAACTGCCACTTTATGAATTTAACTGCAGACTCTCAATTCCATTTACAACATTCTATCAGGACAGAGGAAATAGAGGCAAAGTGATGGGATGATACAGGACAACAAATCTAGATAAACCTTAAATTACTAGCATTATGGTCTATCTTGGACTGCAAACAAATGCTTCAAATAATCCTTCTAAATCAGTTCATCTTTATTCCATCCCATCTTTCATCCACTGTCTTTCCAAGACATCCTCTGGAAGTTCTTCCTTGACTTTCTTTTTAATTTCTATCAAAATTAGCAAGAGAAAAACAACTGGTTGAAAACTGAACAAGGAGGGGCTGGGGATTTAGCTCAGTGGTTCTGCCGCCTGCCTTGCAAGTGCAAGGACCTGAGTTCGATCCCCGGTAACAAAAAAAGAAAAAAGAAGGAAAAACGAAAATTGGACAAGAAGAACAGATAACTTACAAACTCATTTCTGCTGTTTTTCCTGAAACATACCAACTAATTTATGCCAAATAATATTTTCTGTATGTAGTCTCCTTGGGACATTGTGCCCCTTTCAATATCCAAGAGCCCTAGAACCATCCTTAATTTTACACTTACTTCTCCTTTTTTGATACCAAGGATCAAGCTTGGGACCTTGCGCTTGCAAGGCAGGTGTCAGAACCACTGAGCTAAATCCCTGGCCCTGCATTTACTTCTGTCTGTTTGTTTTTTGGGACAGGGTCTCACTTTGTAGTTCAGGCTGGCACTGAACTCACTATGTAGCTCAGGCTGACCTCAAACTTTTGGTGATCATCCTGACTCAGCCTCCCAAGTGCAGAGATTACAGGTGTGAGCCACCACACCTGGCTCTGCATTTACTTCTGATGAACTCTGCCTGGGATCCATGTGGTTACTGAAGAGTTAACATTAAAATGCTCTTTTATTTCCAGGATACCAGGCATAAGAAGAAAAGAGAGTTGGGTTTCTCCAGGTTTCCATTATCTCAAAGTGGAATCTATAGTACCCACACCCCAGCCAGCAAGAGGGAATAATAAAAAGCCTCAGTGATATGTTCAACAATAGAGCAAGTCCTTTCTTACTGAAGAGAGAAAACAAAGTAAAAAGGCTCAGGTTCTGAGCTAGAACACGGTAATGCAGGAGGAATAAAGTGGTGAGGTGATCTATACTTCTAGTTCTTGGGCAGTGAAAAAAAATTTTTTTTCAGACAGGGTCTCACTATGTAGTTCAGGCTGGCCTTGAATTCACTATGTAGCCCAGGATGGCCTCAAACTCATGGTGATCCTCCTACCTCAGCATTCCAAGTGTTGGGATTACAGGTGTGCACCACCATGCCTGTCTGGGTAGTGAAAAATATTGATGTGGAATATGTTTCATGTTTCTTGGTTATTTGTTCAGCAAATACCCACTAAAGATCTACTATACATTAAATGTTGAATATGAATTATAGTTACTATGCTAGTTCCAGGCTCTGTGCTATATGCTTTATAGTCATTCCCTTCTCTGCAAAACTATGAGGTCAATATTAACTACCTACCTATAATTTACTAGGGAGAAAACTAAGGTCTATTGTGGACAAAGCATTTAAACCCAAGTCTGCCCAACTTTCTTTCCCAATACTGGAGATTGAACCCAGAGCCTTTGCCATTTTTATTTTGAGACAGGGTCTTGCTAAATCACTAAGAAGCTCACCTGCGCTCAAATTTTTCATCTTCCTGCCTTAGCCTCCTAGAGTGCTGAAATTATAGTACCATGCCTGGCTCTAATACCGATTTTTGGTGTTGAGATCAAACCCAGGGCCTTGCACATGATACAAATGCACACTATCACTGAACTATACCCTAAGATCCAGTTTTTAACTGTTGTTTAGCAGAGATGTGAGTTCAAGGTTAGTTTCATTAACGTGGTTTTTGCTGGTTACGCATTTGTCTCTCTTGGAAAGAATGGATCTTACTTTGGTGTTGGTGTTAACTTCATACCATAAGAAACTTATATACACCACCTAAATATCAAAATAATATTCTCAAGGCCAGTATATGACAAAAGGAAAAATGATGGTTCTGAAACCACATCATGAATTACCATGCCTGGATTAGAGTAACTGACATTGTGGCAACTATGACTCATCCTGTGGGTGGGACTGGAGGTGGAGAGTGTGAAAGTGTACTCCTAGACCTCAAGTAAAAGAAAAATGAGTTGTTTTAAGTCCTTCTTCACAGTATCTACGATGACACACTGGATATAAATTACTGCCAGAGAAAGCCAAAAATGAGCTCTGTGTTGAGTGCTTTCTCATTCTTCTCTGCATAAATAAAATATTTAATTTCTCCATGTTGGTTTCACTGAAACCACAAGATCTCAGTCAACTAGAATAGTTTTCAGTTCTTCTGGGTAGGTACATGTTTTTGGACCAAGGAGTCATGGGCACGAAGAAAAAGTTATATACTAGCATGTAATTATCAGGGGCAGACCATTCTTATGATACTTTGGTCTCTAAAGAAACCTAAGCAGAAACCAGCTAGGTTTATAACATGCTAAGAATGAACAATTATTTTTCCCTTTTGTGTTGGGGAATCACCACTGGGATTAGTAGAAAGGCATCTAAAAGGATATGTACCTTTCAAGATGAGCCAGTAATTAAGTCTTTACCAACACAAACTCAAAATTTACTTTTGTCTACTGATGTGCCTTAAATATAACTTCTCTGTCCAAGACTCTTGCTGGCAATCTCACCTAGGATAATTGAGATAAAATTAATTGTCATTCCTTTTTTGGCAGTTTGCAAAGAAAAGCTGTGCACTTTTGACTTGAGGAAAATGGCAAAGGTAAATGTTATTCCTTAAGGCTATTCCTGTTTTAAGGAACACTGTAAGGCAAAATATATAAAACAACATTTTTAAAAAAGCAGTTCTAACAGACACTTCAAGAAAAGATAAATGAATGGATCTTTTGGTAGTCACTTTTAGCTAATTTCTGAAACATTGTCTAGAATTATTCTCATTAAGAAGTAGGACTTGTTAAAGTGTCATGTTAACTGAAGTATAATGTGATCCATAGAAATACTAGTGATTAAGAAGTGCTATAAAATTAACCAGATACAGTGGTGTATACCTATAATCCCAGCAGTATGGGAGGCTGAGTTAGGAGGATCCCCTACCCTGAGTGACTTAGCGAGATCCTGTCTCAAAATAAATATTAAAAAAAGCCTGAGATGTAGCTCAGTGTGAAGCTCCTAGGTTCAGTGCCCATTTCCACACACACATACACACACACAGCTATAAAATTGCCTGTTTTTATAATGTAGAATTATTTCTATCCTGAGACCATTAGAATAGATTTTTTAAAATCCTCTGGTCCCTAGACATTAATGTAGGGCAACCATCTTATTCAATATGGGAATTTATTTGTCTGTTAATACTATTAACAGACACTGCTCCACAATAAAAAGCAAGGTACTACATCTACCTTTTTTTGGTACAATAATCAAAATAGTGTTTGTCTTTGATTTGGCTTAGGTTTTTCAGATCATGTAAGAATGAGGCCATGCAAGCCAGTTCAGACTACAGATAAAAAGACTGAGATAAATGTCTCTAGAAGGCAAATATTTTACAACTGTCTTTCTTGGATCCCTGGTACAGTTAAGCAAATGCAATGTCAGACTGACTGAAATTAAATAAAGTAGTCACAACATATTCCGTAAAGGAGCAGATGTCAAGGTCAGAAAAAAAGGAGCTAGTGGAAGTGAGGAGCTTACGATTCCATTTCTAGCTGACAGTCTCGTAACACAGGTGGTGTCACATGTTGATAACACAACCATTACCTTATGAGAATGCGAAACAGAATGGATAAAGGCAAAACAAGTTGTGCTTTTTAGAAGAAAAGGGACCTTTAAAGCTTTTATTCCTTCTCCTGTAAGAGAAGCTTTTAGGTGAAGTTTTCTAGTCTTTCATATATCTTACAATCTGAAAGCAAAATCTCTTAAAATTTCCTTTCTTAGTGGTGTGCTTGGTTCAAACTCTCCAAATATGAGCACTGAAAAAGACTGCATTTTCTACCTCCCTAGAAATAAATGACAATATTTGTACTCAGAAAAGGGTGAGATGGAGGCAACAGAAGAGAAGGTATAAAACATTTCAATGAGGCAACAGTTTCTCCATGACTAATAATTTTGGGGTTTTATTTCAAATGAGTCGATTAATGAAGCAAGTGGGCAAAAGATAGAGTCTGTGTGGATATTTCTGGGGAAAGGATCATTCCAGCAATATGATATAAAAACAGTCCTGAGGAAAACCAAATCAGTGCCAAAGCAGCCTCCCTATCTACAGTGGATCTGACAAATGTTTCTGGGCTACAGCAGTGAGATTAATGTAGCCCTTTAGGCGTGCTTTTAGCTTCATTCCACACAATCTTCTTCCCAGAAGGCAGATGCAATGAAACTCAGCCATTACTCTGCTCAAGTACTGATTGGTTTTGACATTTAAGCAAAGCTTCTGCAGACTTTCCTGTTTCCCAGACTTTGAGTCCACACCTTTTACTTTAAAAAGACAAACAGCATTAAGTTCAATACATATGATTGGCTCCATTTCACTGCAAGGTGCATAGGAGACTCCAGAGATCAGAAAACTAAAATTTCCTTCTTCCTCTTGTCATTACTGTCCTGGGCAATGAGAAGATGGTCTTTCAAAAAGGGTAGGGTCAGCTTCAGTCCCCAAATAATAAATAAATAGAAGTTCTTAAGAAACCAGCAAATCTCAGAGTGTGTGTATGTGTGGGGTTTTTTTGTTTGGTTTTTTTTTTTTCCGGTCAAGCTTAGACCATCACCCAGAGAAATCAGTCTCTCTATTCGGGTGGCTTTAAGAGATGAACACCCAACTCCTTTAACTACCTTATTGGTAAACCCCTCATTTCTATGAAGGGCATCTTTCCTGCTCTGTCTTCTTGTGGTCTGTATTTATATGTTTTGCATCTTTGACTGCAGAAGGGAAGACAATCCTCCTGAACCTGTGTTGGATGATTTTGCTAGAGTTATTTAATTTTATCTCCCTTGACAATCCTCACATTGAGGAACAGTGTATCTTAAGTGTTATGGCAACTACTTCTAATTCTTCACAGACCACTCACCTTTATATTAAACAATTTTGCACATTCATCTATTCCAGAATACACTGTTTTTTTTGGTTGAGACAGGGTCTTGCTATGTAGTTCAGGTTGGCCTTGAACTCATGCCAGTTCTCCTGCCTCAGCCTCCCCAGTGCTGAGATTACAGGTATATGCAACCAAATCCAGCCAGAATATACTTTTTTTTTTGTACCAGGGATCAAAGAATATACTCTTGAAGCATCCAACTGGTCCCATCTTAAAGAACTTTTCTAAGACTTCCATAGAAAATTATATATAGAGGTCTGCTACCCTAATCTCATTAATCTATAAGATGTCAAAGTCATCTTAATTCCTCTGTTCAAACTGTTTTCTTTTTTGGTATCGGGGATCAAACTTAGGTCCTTGCACTTGCAAGGCAGGTGGCAGAACCACTGAGCTAAAACCCCAGCCCTAAACTATTTTCTCTTCTGCTCTTTACTTAGAAAAGATTTATCACAGTGCCTGGCATATAATGTTTTGTTTTTTCTTTTTTTTTTTTTTTTTTTTGACAGGATCTCACTATGTAGTTGAGACTGACCTGGAACTCACTATGTAGCCCAGGATGGTCTTGAACTCACAGCAGTCCTGCCTCAGCCTCCCAAGTGCTAAGATTAAAGGCGTGCACCACCACGCCCGGCTCTGGCATATAATATTTTAAATACATTTTAATTCTCTTAATTCTTTGATTAAACTATCCTCTTAAATGTTAATTTGTTTTGTTTTGTTTTGTTTTTGCCTTAAAATAAAATCTTGCATATTATGCCTTTTAATTTTCTTCAAAGGTTGTTGCACTTTACTCACTCTGTCTGCCATGATGATAGAGAACTATTTGTCTCTTTATGATCATTTGTGTGAGAATGTTTATCTCCCTAGATCATAAGAAAATGGTTATCTGTTTTTTGGTACTGGGGATGAGAAAATGCTTATCTGAAATCTGCATAAATATTAATGTTAATTTTAAAGGGTGTTTTGGAACACCATCTATGAGCAGTGCCAGAAGTTGAGAGAGATATATAGCACAGAGTCTCTGCCCATTAGAAGTTCAGAATAGAGAGCTGGGGATTTGGCTCAGTGGTTCTGACACCTGCCTCACAAGTGCAAGGGCCCAAGTTCAATCCCCAGTACCAAAAAAAAAAAAAAAAATCAGAAGTTCAGAATAGAATATACATATGAAACTGCTGAGAAACAATACAGAGCAATAATGCATGCCTGTTGTCCTGTTTCTAGTCTCCTTCGTGTGATCTGTCCCATACACTGCTTTACAGTACCAAAACTACATTCTAACTGTCACTCCTCTTTCCTTGTTTAAAAACCTTTGGTAGCTCTCTAGTCTACACATGAAGATCGCACTTGGCATTCAGGCCTCAACAATGTAGAATTATGTGCTGTGACTTCTGGACAAATGAAACTTCTGCTTTCAGAATTTTCTCCTCATCCTCTGAACACGCATGTGCATTCTGTCTTATAACTATTCAGATCATTTCCCCACCTGATTTTTTCTCTCCCTTTTTTTCAACTCCACTTTCTACTCTTTAAGGTCCAGTTTAAGTTCTGATAAGACCTCTTCTATCATGCATTTCCAGTACACAGAACTCTTTTAATTTCCCTCTTCTTAATTTCTGTAGTATATATAGTCTGTAGCATCCCTCTTCGGCACTTAGCATATACTATCTTGTATTTTTATGTGTTTCTTGTATGTGTGTGCGTGTGTGTGTGCATGTGTATCTGAAGCTCCATCACAGTTTTATATACATTGTCTTACAGCCCTGAAATCAACCACAATAGTTTGTGCAAAGTAGATATCCTGTAACTGTTATTGTGAGCATTAATGATGAATCAAATGCATATATCCCTAGAGACAGGGATATGTCCCCCTGTCTTACCCCAATAACCAGACACACTTTTAGTCCATATATTCAAAACTTTTAACCTTTTTTCTTTAAAAATTAGTGTATGCCTCTCACCCTAATTCAGGTTACTCTCTTTTTCCAACCCTTAACATTCCCAGTTTCCAGAAGATAAGGCTCAGTACTCACAGTGAACTTTATTTGGATTTGTCTGTTTCCGGCGGGACATATTTTCCTGATCTGATAACTGTGGCCTTTCCCAGTTTCACGATTGGATATATTACTACCTCCTTGCAAATTGCTAACCTACAATAAAAAAGGCTGTTGTCAGTTCATGTCATTTCCCTCCAGAAACTATACAAAATTAAAAGATAAAAAGACTTTTAAAAATAGCTCCTGAGCATATAAAACTCACCATGAGTTGAATAACTGAACTAATGAAAGAAAGAAGCAAATAAATCTCTAGCACAGTGTTTAAGAGGGATTTCTTCAGAGGAATTAGAGAAATCTACTCTAGTCCATCTTTGGAATCCAGAATACTGTTAAGTAATCATGATCAAGGTCACAGGATAGAAAAGGATGCAACACTCTTGCAACCAGTGTTACAAGTAGTGGGGGCTCACAAGGATAATCACTGTAGATTGAAAGAAAGCAAAGGGTAGTAAGAATGTGGCAGCTCATATGTCTCATGTCCACTGGAAGTCAAGCCCTGAAAACTGCACCAATGGGAACCTCCAGAAAAATTTCCCCCCAAGAAGTTATCTTGCATCATATTCCTGTGAGACAGGCATCTGTAAATGAGAAAACACCATGGGAAACAGAGTGTGATATAAGCACAGTGCTGGACAATGTAGATGACAGGGCATAAAGCAACTTAACTTCCAAAGTTAAAACAGGCTCTTACTAGAAAAGCCAGATGCCATCCATGTTGTTAAATACCAATTAAACTTCCCAATGTGGAACACCAACCTGGCCCTGCTCACATAAAGATAACACCTTTACAGCATCTTTCAGAAATTCCTGCCTCTGTGTAGCCAAAAGACCAGTGGAAGGAACAAAGAGAAAAGCTCTGTAATCAAGACGTGCTGCAGAGACATGTATCTATGCTTCTGATACAGGAGGGGAAAGGTTCTGGAGGTTCCTGATTAGCTACAAGAGAGACTAGCCCAGCTGTAAGCATTGTTACAGAATCCGAAACAGATTAGTCCCAGAAGCTGTGACATTTTCCTTGGAAGACAGAGTGACTGACTAAACAGATATAAAAAGAGATTCCTTTTGCTACCAAAGAAAGGAATACAGATCTGGTCACCTCTAAGTTTGCTTTCAGTTTTTGTCTTCTCAAACTGTACTCACATAAAAACATAAAATTGTAGTTTATTGCTTTCAGAGGAATAAGAGACTACTACTGGCTGTACTTTGCACTTGAGTTAATGAAGATTTGCCTCCTGTTTTGCCAACTAACTCCTCTATGTAGCTAGAAAGGACCTTAAACCTGTAATCAGATCCTGCCTCCCCTTACCAAAAGAAGAAAGAAACCGCAAATGGCAAAGACAGGCCTTCACAGGAAGTGGCAAAGGAAGCAGCTTTCAGGCAGTCTTCTATCATATCTGCATATCAAACACAGTTCTTTTTCAGACTTTTAATTAAAAAAAAAACTCCAAATGTATACAGTAAGACAATTTTCATTATTTAGAGGACAGCATACTGGTATGCAATGGTTTCTGTTCTCTTAAATTTTGCTTGTGTATGTCATTTCTAATCAAGTAGTTCTTTTATTAGTGGAAGCAGTAATTAGCACAGTTCATATCTTTTCTCTATGTCTATGAATCACAAAGTGTAGAGCTGAATGAAATGCAAGTTGTCTATTAATTTTTCTAAAATACACCTCTATTGTATAAAGAAAAAGTGGAATTTTTACTAATCTACATTTTCTCCCCATCAAGACTAGAAATTGAAACTAAGATAAAGGTAATAAAATCCCTTCTGAAGGAACACCAAATAATTCGAGACAGGCTCTATTCTGACATCTTGGCAAGATGACAGTTCAGAACTAAAGCTACAAAGCAGAGAGACAGATGAGCATCTGCATATTTAAATCAGCAGCGTCCACAGCCTCTCACAGTCCTCCTAGTGGCCCAATGGGGAACTGACCAGATGGTACCCCAGGGGGCTTCACACCTGAGGGATCAAGAGAAAAATAAGCAAATACCCTCTACAAAACAAAAAAAGGCCTGTGGACTCACGGACTCTTGAAAATAAGGAAATAAGTGGCACTGAAAGAACACTCATGACCACACAGCAAGAGCTCAGAGGTTAGACAACTGTTTTATAGGTGGTAAAGCCTAATAAAACTCATGGACACATTGCCCCGGAGGTCACTCTTTTTGATTTACTTTCAATACTACCTCAGTTTCCATGCCCGTATCTGAAACTAAACCAAAAATGTAAACGGACAGCTGCCTGAAATCATCTGGAAGGAAACTGGGAAGAGGGGGAAAGGTACACTGAGGTCTACAAGAGATTCTGTTTAAAGAAGGCGGCAGCTCTGGCTATAGAGCAAAATGCAGAGTCCTTGGGAGGGTGCCACACCTCCCCTTATCACTGTCTCTGCTCTCCTACAGGTGTTAGGTTGCAGGTTCTAGGGCACTGTACAGACTTTAGCAGGAAAAAAAGCCGGATGAAATCCTGTCTTAAAAAGAGGGTGCACTCCCACCTCCAACTCTGGTGCAGTTCTCACGGAGCAAAGTAAACTCGCCGGAATCCAAGTAATTTGCATCTGCCAAAACAAGGGGACAAGAAAGCTGGTCACTCAGCACCCCCCGCCGCACCCCCGCGCCCCCATTCTCCTCGGGTCGGGTCCTGAGCGTGTGTGCAATCAGCTGAAATGTTCCCTCTGGCTTTTTCAAGCATGGGCATAGGTAAATTCTCAGGAATTACTGACAAGAGCCAGAGGTCTTCCGAGGAGGCTCAGACAACAGTCATCTCCAAATCTATATTTAGAAGCTCCTCGGCGAGACCCAGCAGCCAGAGACCCAGACCCGGGCCCGCACTCCCACGCCCATCCTCCCCTCCCCCAGCGCCACCCAAGCCTGTCAGACGCTGGGCCGTCCAGGCTG